GAGAGTAAACAGCCTTGTCTGACTCCGGTCCTTACTTGGAATGCATCTGTCAGCTGTCCTCCATGCACTACTTTGCACTGTAGTCCGTCGTATGAGTTCCGGATAATATTGACAATCTTCTCAGGAACTCCGTAGTGTCGAAGAAGTTTCCATAATGTCCTCCTATCTACACTGTCGAATGCCTTTTCATAATCAATGAAGTTGATGTATAGTGATGAGTTCCACTCAACTGATTGTTCGACGATGATCCGTAGTGTTGCAATTTGGTCTGTGCACGACCGATCCTTTCGGAATCCAGCTTGTTGATCTCGAAGTTGGGCATCTACTGCATCCTTCATCCGGTTCAGCAACACTCTGTTGAAGACTTTCCCTGGTATTGACAGTAGTGTAATGCCTCTGTAGTTTTCACATTTGCTCAGATCTCCTTTCTTTGGAATCTTGACGAGGTGTCCTTCTTTCCAGTCCATTGGCACTTGTTCCTCCTCCCAAATCTTTTTGAATAGAAGATAAAGCATGCTTGTGGTTACTTCGACGTCTGATTTCAGTGCTTCAGCTGGTATGTTGTCGGGTCCTGCTGCTTTCCCGTTCTTGATTTGTCTGACGGCCATTCTAATTTCTTCCGTCGTTGGTGGGTTGACATCTATAGGAAGATCTGTGTGTGCTGCTTCGATGTTCGGTGGATTCATTGGAGCCGGCCTATTCAGGAGTTCCTCGAAGTATTCTACCCTACATCAAAATATACTGAAAGATGAGATATATTATCGGTCAGTTGAAATAACCTATTTTTAGATTACGACAGACCAGAAATGCAAGTGCGTAAAGAACAATATCGTTACGTAGGATGCTAAGGGAGAGTGCAAAGAAGCGCGCGTGAGGTAGTCTGGATGAGAGTAGAATAATGGAACTAGTTAGCCCATGACTTAGCAAACGAACAAAATGCAAAAACAGTTTGCAGCAATAAAGGTGTGAAATCAAGGCAATAAGGATCGGTATTTGATCACGTAACGCTCTGAACCCTGCAGAAATATAGAATAATCAAACCTCTTTGACTGCAGTACTGCAATACAAGAAAATTTACATAACGATCTAAACAGCGTTTCAAACTCATCAGTAATAATTGTATAAATTAAGTGAAACTACGGAAAATATAAATACTGACTAATTTCATTTGTTGACTACGTTGACTACCTACTGTGTAGGTAGTGAAAGTTAACAATGTACAACAGGGCGAGAATTTGATAATCGCGTTACTGTCTTCCCACTGTCACCCTCCTGTTGTCGTCTGAGATAAATGATGTAAGTAGCTACTTCTGGGAATAAGGTTTTATATTCTAGTTTGAAATCTATGTATTGAGGATACGCTGCCAGCCTTCTGTATGGGGCTGGTGGCTTTTGTTAACTTTTTATCGGTAAGCTTCCATGCGTTCCTAATTGTTCATTAACTAGGTTATTTGAAGATATTTACACCTCTCAGTGTAGTTCCAAGCTTCAAATTTTGAGATGTAATTGCTTAACTTTCGGTAATTTTCCTGGAAATAACAGAAGGTTCCCGAGCTCCCAACGTTTGGGGAAATTTTGAGGTTTTTGTGCCATTTCCCCAAAATTTACTATAGCGGCTTCCCCAAAATGTGCCAAATTTTCCCCAAAATTGGCAGCTGGGGTTCGGTAATATATAGGTTTAGGATTTAGTTCCCAGATTTCTCCAAGACCTAGAATTCATTACATGATTCACCCAGGTTCACTAAAATGTAATCTCGGAATGGGTAGATTGGCATAGGCTCTGTTAATATTCGATATGGAAACCTGTGTATCATAGAGATAATGTCCGTTCTTGACTTTCGAACTCACTTTCTATGTTCTCAGAGTCTTCTCATCATACTTAGAAGTAAGAAAATGTCAGGTTCGATGCCATTCTTTCGTGCTTAATTTGTAAAAACAAGATCACTACAATCTGCTGTAACACAAAATAAGCAAGTCAAAAACCTCAAACCTTAGTGTGTACGGTAAACCTTGGATTCTCTCAGTCACTTGGTTAGCTGTTTTCTCCATTTTGTTAAACATAGCGGAAATACCTTTAAAATCTGGGCTTGCAGTCCAAGATCAATCTGGGTGGAAATACTGCAGTGAATTTTTGTATTTCACTTAGCCAATATATGTCCTAGCGTTCTACATTTTTTAACTGCAATCAAACAACAGCGTGTTACTGTTCTTAGGTCGAAACCTAATGTCACTAAGTATGACTAAAGACATTGACGCTTCTGTGTTGTATGTCCTTACATTAGCGTAACCACTGTGCATGTAAACATCATGACCAGTTAATAGGTATTAGTTGTAATCTAAACCAGCTTAGTAGTACTTTCAGATCACATTCGGCACTGATAGAAAGTCTTTAGAATGTAGTATTCTTGCATCCAAACTTGACTCACAGAAATATTGGTCAGTGACCAGCACGAAATATCTTGATACTCTGTTGTACATTATACCTTTAGAGTTATTTGTCTTTAATTAAAAGCATTATAAAATAAAAGCAGGTGATATATCGATGTGCGATATACTTGTTTGCTTGCGCCTGTAACCCTTAGTGGATCATAGGCTGCCGACCAGGACTCACCAACCAACTCTGTCCTGAGTTCTTTTCCCGTTATTTCCAGCTGTTACTTATTTCTTTGATGTCTGCCTCAAACTCCCGACGTAACATGTTTCTCGGTACCCTTTTTACCCTTTGTCTTCAGGATTCCAGGTTAGGGATTGCCTTGTGATTCAATTTGATGATTCCCTCAATGTATCTCCTACTCACCTCTAGCGTATTTTCCTAATTTCCTCTTCAGTTAAAAGTTGGTTTGTTCGTTGCTATGGTGGGTTGTTGCGATATTATTAATCCAATGGACAAAGTATCTTGTATGGATGTATAGTACATACAATATGTAAATCTAACTTCAGAGTTCAACCATTGTTCAAGTAGAAGGCTTTTGACGTTCTTCAAGTTTTAATATTTTTTGTGACAATAGTATTGTCAGAAATCCCTCACTTGGTTGTTATGTTAGGTTCCCCTGGATGTGGTCATATTGTAACATTTAAGTCGTGAAGCTACGAGCGTCCCTACTATAATTGCACCATTAGATATATTATTTTTACAACACACGTTGTCAACTATTGGTTCTTAGCGTAAAAATTGTTTGTCGCCTTACTGTTAGAAAGTCATACACATTCTGTCTACTTAGCTAATTTGTTCCGTAGTTAATCTCACTTTTATTCCACTCATTTCCACCTGAAGCTGTTTTTTGAACGAGAGTATACTAAATGGTAGATTTTTTAAAGCATTCCTTATTGGTAAACAAGGTTAAAACATATCCTTACATTCTGGATAATCTAAAAACATGGTTATTATGGTTCATTTATTTAAAGTAATATTTGAATACACTTGAACACACATGTGGACTCCACGATTAAAATATAATCTACCCTTATTTACCTTCAACACAGTTCATGCCACTTGACAAATCCAGAACCAAGATTGCACTTGTTATGTATTAGTTAAATGAAGCTAAAACTATTCTTATGTATATAACTCATGAGAATCAGCCTCACCAATGCAACTTTATAGAATAAGTGTTGTGTCATCCCGCAGACTCACTGTTTTTATTGGTGTTTCTGCCTGTTTGCATTTCTATTCATGAGATATGAACATTCACGAGCCCCTTAGTTCGAGTAAACTGTTAAAGATCTACTGACTTTTACTTACATCTGGTCACGAATTAATTATCTTTGATATTGTTTTTATAGCAAAATTTATGTTGCCAGACTATCTTAATATGTAAGTTATTTTAATCTCCTCAGTATCTATTTAATCAGTTTCCCTATGAATACAAATATTGTCGTGATCTTGAGATAGGTTGTAAAGAGAAGTCTTGTTGACCTATTTCTTGTATGTACTCAATAGTCACGAGTATCTCAACTCAACTCATACAATAGTCAGAGTTCAAGATGATTTTCAACGATAGTCAACAGTAATTTTCTTTCTTTATCTATATTACTGTTTTAGATAAGTTCAAAGTTAAGTAACAAATCTCCCTGCGTTTAATTTTATAGTCGTTCAGAGACAATTTTCAGTTCTTCACTTTAAGTCACAATTGCTTTAGCAGTATTTTTTTAAATATCTATCAGTCATTCATGATACTTCTACATTTTAAAAGTAAACTGAATTTCAAAGCCCCTTTTCACTGTAAAACACTAGTTCGTAAAATATAAATCTATTCAGTCTGCTGATTGAATAAACAATCTAAAATAAATAGAATGATAATAACTCTACACAAGTGAACTTATTGTGATTATTTATTTAAACACATGAACATTGGTACTATGAGGTACCATATAGATATACGCCACATAAATTATTTGATTTGCATGAGGGCTGAATACTGCTCGGCTACCCAGACCGAAGCAGGTGGTTTTCTTGGGAGGCCACCACCCGAGCCTTTGACCTAAATGTTTGATCCATAAGGCAGTGGAGCAACGTCAGGAGATGCAGTCTCATGATAAACGGTGATCAGCGATTGGTTAATATGCCATTTATCCCTTCAGGATCATGGAACCCATGTGTACCATTGGTTTGAAATCAGGGTTTTCCAACTCCCCTAGATGAATCCTCCATATTCACCAACGCGGTTAAAGTGCCGGACATTCGCTTTTCGTCCTCTCAATTTCGTAAACAACAGTAATGCCGCGAGAAGGCAGTGGTTAGAACTTCCCTGGAAGTGGTTATATGTACGTGGTCTTGTGAGAACATTTCCAGACAGAGAGAGAGCTGACTCTCCCAATTCTCGGCCGTGCCATGATATTTGAGGACAATTTATTGTATTATTATTCATACATTTTAAAGTCCAGTAATATTGTCTTTAGTGGTTTTGATATTTAAGCTTTCAACTTGTGACTCATATATTCTCTTGCAATAATCTATTCTAATCGAACTGATAATTTCAAAAGACAATTTTGATTTATAGATGATTTGGAATAATACTATGAACATATCTCAAAAGTTTTCAAGACTGTTTAAAACACTTGGAAAATTATCATATCGTCAAGTTAACACATTATCAGATGATATAAATCAGGTAATTGTCTAATTATTATTGTTTATTTCCATGCAGGTAGTTCTGTTAGGTAAAGTGACTTTTTTACATTTGGGTGAAAGCGCTAATGGTAAAAATGTTTATGCATCTATTGGATTAGTAACGAAAAATAATTATATGACTGCGAATGGATATTCATCTACCTTAGCTTTTCATAAGTAAGTCTAATTAATTGTTTATTTATTTAAACACATACTGACACAAAGGGGCATCAAAATATATGTGTGCCACAATAAGAAATTGAGAGTGAATAAATAGAGAAAGGAAGGTGAGTATAATCGTAAAAAAACAAAAAAGAAGGATGAAAATAAATGAATGAAAGTGAAAAATAAAAGAGGAGCAGTTCAGCTAAGAAAAATACGACCAGAAAACACTTTCAGTCAAATAAGTTTCACTGTTTTGAGGGAAAGTAAGAGAAGATTAAAAAAGCACCGCCACTAACTTTTATCCTGAGTCATATCTTATAATGTTTCAAGCAACTGTGTCACACTATCTCTAAGGCCTCAATTAGGCTGTTGTGAAGGACCGGCCTATGCTAGTCTTGTACAGTTTTTCTTCATGCCACAACATTTTAACATAAAATGACCACCTCTCCACTTTTGCCAACCACTTCCGCGATGCACAAGTAACCCACGTTGTGGAATTCGCCAGAATGACATTTGTGGTACACGTCCAAGCCATCAAATTCGGTGATACCAATTCAATTATCGTTCCTATGTCTGAATTTATGTTGCCTATCCTCCGCATTACTAACATGTCGTTGATACTTGAACCTGTCTACAACAGGTTCCTAGGTGCGCATAACTAATTAGCTGACTGTTCTAATGAATCTATTGTTAACTATGTGACATGAATATCATACTTCTTAAAGAACTGTTAGGGTTTCTTTCACTGTCCTTAATTTTTAACATAGAGTTCTTCCATGTTAGCTTAATTTTACACCTTAACATGGAGATAAGCAATGGTAGAATCATTCTAATTATTACTTTTTCGCTAAAATAAATGTTAACATCCCATCTGAAATCTATTCAAGTTTCATCCATTTATTTTTTTTTTGTTTCTTTTATTAAATAACAAAAAAAATCACCATTTATTACAGTGTGTTTGTTTTCAAGCAATCCTTTGTGGATAAAGTTAAACATTTAACTAAAGGTGATCGATTATGTGTTATTGGTCAATTGAACTCTTATTCTAATCCTAATGGTTATTGGCGTTCTAGTGTTACAGCTGAAATAGTGAGTCCACTTATTGGATTATCAACAGTTGATACCGATGATGATATACAAGCTGAAAAAGTTGAAGATGACGAAGAGATTTTAACAGATGAAATGAATGATAAATTTGATGCTGAAAAATAATACACTTCAGTATATGTATATATATATATATATATATATATATATATATATATATATATATATATATATCATAGATTTGTACAATATCTTGTGTGTAATAATAACAAATTCCAAACAGAATAAATTTATCTTATCTGTATAGTATAATAGCCTGAAAATGTCAAATTATTCTAAGCATAGATGGGTGATGGTTATCAGTGGAATCTAAGATGCGCGTTTCATCACACTTTGAACTCGTCAGCTAGATGCATCTGCATTTTAAAGTTGGTGTTCACTCAAGAACTCGTAACCAGTATCGCTCGTTTTAAACACCATCTCTTTATCCAATTAGTTACTACTCTATTGGACAAGCTAGTGGTTATCTGGACTTATTAGCTAAGTGGATAATACTATGGCTAACATACGATTAGCAGGTAACAATAGCTTCCTCAACAGAATAGATCCGGTTGGTTAAGTACATGAAGTTCCGAATAAATTGAAGGGGTTCTAAGCGTTCTTAAACACCTTATTATTACATTATATTTACTGAATGAATATCGTCCATATTGTCGATTTAGACTCTCCTCACAGAAGAAAATATAGGCCAAATACGAACAGGGATGAGTAAGCCATAAACATTAAGCTGTATATTCGTCTACACGTCCTGTCGTTTCAAATATATCAATCAAAACTTTTTAACTGATAAGTCTGGTACTCGAACGCTTGATAATGACTTTCTAACCACTGCCAAATTTCTCAGGGTGAGACTATAATTTATGGATGATCTTTGAGTGACTCTAAAGTGACCTTGAAAGTGTCCACCTACTACCTAGGAACAAATGAAGTTTAGAAACCAATGTGATGAATTAGATTTGGGGTTTTCATCACGAACTGACATAATCTAAAATGATAGTTAGCTGAATGAATTTCGTACTGAAATCCAAGACATGTTATCCTAAGTCTGATCGGTTCGTCTACAGATTGTAGTCTCGTAGGCAAGAATTTTTATAGGTTCGTGAGTGACCTTATCATTCTGTTAGCTTCTTGGAACATGCTGTTGTGTTTCTGGAGCTTTTGAGGAGTTTTCATTAAATGCCGTTTGTTGGGAATGTAGTGAATGAGAACAACAGTAAGGATAACTGAATATATTTGAATACAGAATTAGTAAAATCTAAGAACTATACAATAAATACTTCATTTCAAAGTGTCAACCAATCGTCTTAGATTTGATTGTTCCTTCGTTTCTACACTAATCATCCTCTGTTCTCGTTCTCTTTCCTTCGATCTTAACCTTCTGTCTCCAGTCATTTAACTTTCGATTGACGATACATACTACTTATATCTGTCTACATCAGTAGCGCACCACAGTGAAATGTGTCTTTATTCGCTCCAACCAGTTTTGAAACTAAATTATAATTAAAATCAGTTACACAATTCACGAACGATCGTCTTTCATCATTACTTGGAATGTTTTTTCAAGGAAACTGTAATCATTGAAGATTACGACAAATAAATCTGAATGAGTATTAGTTAATATGGTAAACAAATGCCTGGATGAAATGTTTCTTCTCATAATCAGTGTTGTGTGACTGAATAAATTTGTATACTTTCTTCGACAGATAAATGGAAGGTGTATTAGGATTACTTGATATATTCCAAACTAAGGCTATTATTGACAAAAGTCAAAAATTCTGGCATATATATGTATAAGTTAATTACTTACGCCTGTTAACCCTCGTCAAGGAGCATAGGCCAACCACCGCAATTCTCCATCCAACTCTGTCCTCGACAATCCTTTCCAATTGCTAATTATCCTTTTCATGTCTGCTTCCAATTCTTGACGTAGCGTGTTTTGGCCTTCCTCTTTTCCGTTGCCATTCACAATTCCAAGTTAGCGTTTGCCTCATGATGCAGTTTGGTGATTTCTCCAGTGTGTGTCCTATCCACTTTCAACATCTTTTCCTAATTTCTTGTTCAGCTGGAAGCTGGTTTCTTCGCTCTCACAGTAGGCTGTTGCTGATGGTATCCGGACAGTGGATGTTGAGTATCTCGCGTAGACAGCTATTTATAAATACTTGTGCCTTCTTGATGGTGGTTGTTGTAGTTCTCCAAGTTTCAGCTCCGTACAGTAAGACTACCTTGACGTTGGTATTGAACATTCTGACTTTTATATTGATTGAAAGTTGTTTTGAGTTCCATATGTTCTTCAATTGAAGGGATGCCGCCCATGCTTTGCTAATCCTCGCCTTTACTTCTGCATCTGAACCTCCTTGTTCATCGATGATGCTTCCCAGGTACTTGAAAGATTCCACATCTTCCAGAATAGAATTTTCAGTAAATATCGTCATTTTTATTTTAAGTGGACTGTGATACTGCCCGGGTGCCTAGACCAAAGCAGGTAGTTTTCTTAGGGGACCATACCAAGAGCCTTTGACCTAAAGGTTTAATCTACAAGGCAATGGAGCATCGTGAGGAGATGCAGTCCCATGGTAGCCGGTGATCAACGATTGGTTCACACGCCATTTGTTCCCGCAGGATACTGGAGCCCATGTGCACCATTGGTTTTAGGGTCCGGTTAAAGTGCCGGACATTCGCTTTTCGTCCTCTCGATTTCGTAAACAACAACCCCACCACGAGAAGGCAGGGATTAGGACTTCGTGGCAGAGGCTGTATACGCATGGCCATGTGAAGGCATTTCGAGACTGAAAGTTCTATTCACGCTTCTATTAACAGTCAAACAATTCACATTATTATTATTATTTACTACGTCGTTTATTCACTCTCTTGTATCCTCACTTTATATATCCTTATTTTTTGACTTATACAGCAGCTCGCCTATGGCGGAAACTCGGTTCTATCTAAACGTTCTCGAGTCACTGCTTGGTTGAAAATTGTATGCTATCACCAAATACGAATACTGAAGCAGTTTTCTGAAACTACATGCACCATTCAAACTGGCTGCTTTCAATATTCGCACACTTATACAGGTCGGACAACAGATAGGGCTGGCTATGTTTTTGGAAAGTTGTAATATCGACGTTTGTTGTCTATCCGAGACCTATATTCAAGACTCTGGTGAAGTACTACAAATTCGCTCTCCATCTGTCGCTTCGAAAAGCTTGTTTTACGTGCGCTTATCCGGGGACCCTGTGGCATCTTCGTCTGGTCTTGCTGGCGTTGGTGTCGCACTAAGCGCTAGAGCTGAGGCAGCACTAATCGATTGGATCCCCATTAACAGTCGGTTATGTGCTGTTAGATTAGAAAGTTCCATCAAAGTGAGAAGAAATCGGCGTGAGAAACGATGTCTTTTCGTCATCTCCGCCTATGCCCCGACAGATTGCAGCCCGGATGCAATCAAGGATGAGTTTTACCACCAGTTATCTGTTCTTCTCCAGAAAGTGCGTTCGACAGATATTGTAGTACTAGCCGGAGACTTGAATGCTCAGGTCGGGCGTCTAGGCACAGAAGAGAGTCGTTTAGGTGGCCGATGGGGACTCGTTGGTCGCAGGTCAGATAACGGGGACCGTCTACTGCAACTTTGCACAGACCACAACCTGTTTCTGGCTAGCACTAACTTTCGGCACAGTCATCGCCGATGTGCCACCTGGCGTCCTCCCTCTGCATCTCAAGCCTGGACTCAGATTGATCACATCGCGATCAGCTACCGCTGGCGTGGTTGTGTACAAGACTGCCGCTCCTTTTGGAGTACCTATCTGGACTCTGACCATGCCTTGGTCTGCGCCAATCTTGCCTTACTTTTCAGTGGCCAACGAAGTGACCGCCACCAACGGATTGATGTTAGCAAGCTGGTTGCAACTTCTGTTGCAAGTAAGTATCGAACCGAGCTAGCTTCTAGGCTAGCTACCATTCCACCGAAAAGTATAGATGAGCATTGGTTGCAATTGCATGACGCCATGAAAATGGCGGGAACAGTCAGTTGTGGGTTCGCGAAACGTCCCGCTTATAAGCACTGGGTTTCTTCAGGTTCCTTACAACTCATTGAAGCCCGTCGGTCTACTCCGGGTGACCGTGAGTTTGACCATAAACGAAGGATGTTACGTAAGGAAATTGGGCAAAGCTTGCGTAAGGACCGAGAAGCCTGGTGGTCGAAGCGTGCTAATGAGCTGGAAGCAGCAGCTGCATCTGGTAATTACCGGAAGCTCTTCCAGCTCATCCGAGCCACTGGCAGCAAGAAGTCTGGTGTGAGTGAAACAATCTGCGAGGATGATGGGATGCCAATCACTAACATCCATCGACGTCTTGGACGATGGGCAGAATTTTTCGAAGGGCAGTTCAACTGGCCTGCTGCTCCGGCAACATCGGTCAAACTGTCCTGCCCCCACATGGAATCCTCAAGGCCAGGGGAAGAGAGGAAGACCAAAGAACACATTACGCCAGGAAATGGAAATAGACATGAGAAAAATGAACAAGAATTGGATGGAACTAGGAAAGAAGGCCCAGGACAGGGTGGGTTGGAGAATGCTGGTCTGCGGCCTATGCTCCATTAGGAGTAATAGGCGTAAGTAAGTAAGTACGTAACTATTATTAATATTATCACTGTCATTATTATTATTACACTACCTTACACTAATCTGGTCATTAATTGTTCCTTTTTTTTCTTTTTTCTTCTACATTCCTTACCTTCTTTTTTCTCTTCCTATCTTTATTGTTTTGTGCGGCGCATATATATTTGGTGCCCTTTTGTACCAATATTTATATGTTCAAATAAAAAAATAAATAAATACATCTTCCGGAGCTTGTCCATCATGTGTGACTGGGTTTGTGCTCTCCGTGTTGTATTTGAGGATTTTGCTTTTTCCTTTGTGTATATTGGGGCTCACTGCTGCAGAGGCTTCTGCTACACTAGTTGTTTTCATCTGAATTTGTTTCTGTGTATGGTATAGGAGGGCTAGGTTATCTACAAAGTTCAAATCGTCTGTTTGGTTCTGAGCTGTCCGTTTTATTACTTGCTTCCCGTCAGATGTGGAGGTTTTCATAATCCAGTTGACCACCAGAAGAAA